GTTGGGCATGGTTCTGTACAGGGTAATACCATGATTTTTTTTCCTGTATTTTTCCTTTCCATTACTGAATCACTTGCCGTTTTTGTTACGACCCACACAACTCATTATTTTTGAAAGCATTCTCCCTTCATTCCATTACTCAAAAAAATGTGCGTGTGGATCATTTTGCAGCGTTATGACGCTTGCGGTTCAGCTGTAATGCTAGAGGGGGCAATTAACCCAACGCTATTGCAGTTCTCAAGAAGGTAAGGATGGAGGGATATAGTCTTTGCCGATGATCGATCGTTTTTGGGATGCGGTTGGTAATATACATTCACATATTCAGAATCATAGTCGCATTTCGAATGTGCTGTTGCCTTTACAATGACTTGTGGGACCGGCCGATTTGCGAGTCCGTGTTTTGTCCTCCCGGACGAATTTTATACCAATTTACCGTATCAGGGGGTAGTACGCTTGGTAGGGTGTGGGCAAGAGCTGATCCGCGACTTGACCCCCGAAGCGCGCGCGTGGTAGGCGCGCTGCTTGCCACTACATCACCTCCGCCTCACTAGAAAGTGTGTCGAAAAAAAACGGAATTCCTTCTGTTCCTAGGTTTAGTGGTTGTCTTATGTCCACCCTTAATCAAATGAACCACTTCTTTTTACATAACTTTGCAGCTGCCTTCCAAGAGCGGCTTACGCTTCACAGCTGTCTTCCAAGAGCGGCTTGTACGCTCAAACCACCTTACAATTGTCCATCAGAAGTGATGTACTTGTGGAACATTCCCTTCACTGAGATGTTGTTAACTAGTTCTTTGTATCACTGTCATGATTTCCTACTGACTCTGTATTGAAATCCTTCTCGGCACCCGTAGGTAAACAGTTATATTTTGAGTTACGATATTTCACGAGTGAAGGAGGTCGGCCCCGACCGTGCGGCAGCAGAGTGGATAGTTCGGTGTGGAGGCGCCGTCAAGTAAGTGTCACCTTGTTGTCTTGACCTTCGATAAGATCAAGGGAAGTTCTTGTTTTAGATTCGACAAAATTGCTGATACCTTCAATGACTATAATGCGCTGATCAAGAGATGTGCTGAACTCGATCCCAGGGTACCAGCGGACAACGTGAAAGTCACGCATATTCATGCTGTGGATGCTTCAGTTACCGGCTACGGTTGTCGTCACTTCGGTCAGTTGACTCCGCTCAGTTTGTGGCAGAACGCTTAGGCTGCGTTCATACTTTGCGGCAGCGTCCACCAGCGACCACCAGCGTTTTGAGCGTCTATCAGTGTCAGCGACTAGAAAAGTATAGGTATGGATCTAGCGAACGGCAGCATTTACCAGCGTCCAAGAGTAGAGAGTATGGGGAAGTAGGAGGGTAGCAGACTGCTGGTAGAGTATGGGAAGTAGGAGGGAGCAGACAGCTGGATTAGCGTCGTGAAATGCGGCGTGTGCCACTGTATTACTACACAATACCGTACAATAAATTGCATAGCTCTGTGCGTTAGCAGTTATACGGTGCCGTTGCACACGCCACATTTACTACCCCTAATCCGGCCATGTGCTCTCTCCTACTTACCCATACTCTACCAGCAGTCTGCTACCCTCCTACTTCCCCATACTCTCTACTCCTGGACGCTGGTGGACGCTGGCGGTCGCTGGTGGACGCTGCCGAAAAGTATGAACGGAACTTCGAGCTCTATTCTATTTGCCCCCTCGTTTCCTGTTAAAATTCTTGTCATTTTTGGATTAATTTCAGCAGGACTATCTGGAATTAAGGAAGTGGAATTCGTTCGCTGTGATAACCTACACGACTTCGGATTGGAATACATGGCGAAAGCTGTCGGAGCACACCTGGAACTCTTAAAAATTGATGGATGCCGGCGTATTACTGAATTTGGATTGGCTCATTTGGAAAAGTGCAGGTAAGCGAAGGTGTCGCAAAGAAAAACTGAAAAATTTCTACATTTCGCCGAACTTCTTTTTTCGGAGATCGTAAAAAGTGTGTTGCGCTCTGTCAACAGAGGAATGAAGTTTGTAGTGGCTGTCCAGCCATCACAGATCACATCCACCTTATAGGTCACAACCCTGGAGCGTTAAAAAAACATCATTTTAATTATGTTTAGTCACAGGAATAAATGCGTACAGTCTTCTTTTCATCGCGTGTTGGGGCATGTTAGGGCTGGGATTGGTGTGTTCTCCACCATTTATTGAAGCGGGAAAACTACAACATTTGGTGGAAAACAGGTAAGCACTGCGCCCAACCCGGCCCCTGCCACCGTCGCATCTGAAGCGAACAATCTTTTGATATGGTGGGAGAAGTTGCCTGTGTCACTCAGAGAATATGGCACCACGGAAACTCTGTAAAACATGCACAGACTAGATTTTCCATTGGCATGAAAGCAAGTTCTTAAGCTTACCTCTTGTTCAGAATCACAGGCCTTTCACTTTGTGGCAACTATCTGCTGTAACCAGTATCGGATTGTACCGTATATACATTCCATGTCGCGGAGATAGGTGGGCGTGACTGCGTGCCTCATTTGGACTTAGCAACGGCTGTGCTTAAGGCGGAATATTGCCAGTTTGACAACTGTAATCATGTCTTTGTTCAGTACAAGACAGGATGGCAGTTGTGCGAGCAGAAATGAGAGACGAAGAAAATAGCCTTTGTCATGTTTAGATGAAGGACGCAGCCACGCCTACCTCAACTCCGGGATATGAAGTGTACAGGGTATTGCAGAATCATGGGTGTCAAAGTTCAAAAACTCATCAGGAAAACGATATTTGTTCTTTCACCTCATTCGCTACTAATTAGGTATACAAGTGGATTTTCTTGCAACTTGCCTGGCTACCGGGGTGATTCTCTCAATTTTTTTGAGAAGATGAAAGCTCCTTCATTGTGACCTGCCAGCACGAGGCAGGTTTGCAGCGAGGACATCGCGAGATCTCTTGTTGTTCTCCTGGGGACTCTATAGAAGACCGCTGACCATTACAGGAAAACCTTATTAATCTAGGGATGATCCGGGAAAGGGAGTAAAGTCAGCATTCCTTCGTGCAGACATTAAACTGGACGTCCCCGAACCGATCTCAGTCTACGGCACTCCATTAGAAGTGTGGATGGAGAAGCTACTCGGCTATTCCCGCCGCATGTAAAAATGGTCATAGTTCATATCTGAAACCAGTAAGTAACAGAGGGTTGGGAAATGCAGAGAGTTGCAGACCCGTCAGACTCTCAATTCCTTCTTATGACTTGAAAATTTTCCTCGCCATTGTTTTGGCAAAAGGGAAGACCGCTTTTTATTCGCCAAAACAAAAACAGAACCCGGTTTCAGTGATGGTTTAAGAGGGAGTCACAGCTAATGGTAAGAAGTCGTTAGTAGTTGTCCATTACGGTGTGAAGGTCATCAAAGACGCACAGCCGGGGAACATACTGATGAACTAAAAAGCCTTTTCCCGGATTACCACTTGGAGAGCGATTCGTGGTGTTTTCAGTGGGATAATACTTCGTATATTAGGATAATTTACTATCCTAATATACGAAGTATTAGCTCGTAGGAATCGTTCGTTCGGGTTGAACCGTCAACGATCTCGCAGTGGGCCTCATCTACTGCCAAGGGGAGGACTATATTACAAGTGTTCAATTATAATCTTCACTTATAACCTTTTTTCTCTTCTCAGGAAGTAGTATGAATAGCGTGTGCTCCTTCTCTCTGTCTTAATGTTTAGTGGAAATATTAAGTTTCAGCGAGTTTATTATAG